CAGGAGCAAAGAATTTTCAGTAACCACCAGAGGCTCACCGTGATGACAGTGACTGGCGCCCTGCCTTGATCTGGCGCCCCGCTCACCTGCTCCACCATCCTGCCGCAGCCGATGCCCACCATGTACTGTGCATGCCCCCTGGTGGTCAGTGCACGTCATAGCAACTGGTTTGGCCTATTTGCATATTAGCCTTTTATTATATAGGATGAGTTAATTACAATGGTATCAGTTTGAGTTTGGTTTTGTTAAACCGATATCTTTTAAAAATTGATTAATTTTTAAAAATATATTTTTATTGATTTCAGAAAGGAAGGGAGAGGGAGAGAGAGATAGAGACATCAATGATGAGAGAGAATCATTGATTGGCTTCCTCCTGCATGCCTCCTACTGGGGATTGAGCCTGCAACCCAGGCATGTGCCCTTAACTGGAATCAAACCCAGGACCTTTCAGTTCCCAGGGTGATGCTCTATCCACTGAGCCAAACCAGCTAGGGCTAAATAGATGTCTTTAGAGTTATGACAATTAAATATAATACTTTTATTCTACTTGGTTTTATTAGTTAAATAAATTCTTATCTGTGTTTCAAAATTTGCCATCAGGAAAAATACCTTTGAATAATAACTGACTTTGACATCTCATGAAATTTCATAAGTAACCTAAACATAATCATTAAGGACTAATGAATTAAGTAGATGTAAGTAACCTAAGCATAATCGTTAAGGACTAATGAATTAAGTAGATGTAAGTGGGATAAGAGTTTTTTGGGTGGACTCTTTAGCAAATTATATTTTATTATATGTATACTTAAAAATAGTTTCTCAAATATTTTGTAATCTGAAACTTTAGAGTTTTGCTAAATTAAATGATAGAAATATATTACATATCTAGAACATTTCCTAAAAATATAAAATGGAACATTAATTATTAAATGCAAATTTATATACTTTTGGTTCCCTACTGCCAAAAAACAACAACAAAAAAACAAAAAAACGAAACAAAACACACACACACACACAAAACAAAAAACTAGAAATGTACATTTGGATCTATTAGCAAACATGTGTTATGCCATGCTGAAAATTTTCCTGTGAAAAAGCACTTATTTTTAGCAATTATGAGTAATATTTATAAATTTGCTAATGTAAAGACAGTTCATAATTGCTTACTCTTTAGTTTTTGCTAGAATTTGAGGTTTTTAAAAATTCTAATATATTCTGGAAATAAGAAAAGGGGGCAACTGTATGTGAGAACAGTAGAATGTGTTTTTAACAAAGAAAAGGTGAGAGGAATGAAGATGCATTTTTGCTAAGGAAAATGAGAGTAATTATGTTTGAACTAGAACTTCTGGTTTTCAAGGGCAAACTAAAGACCCATAGAAAGTGGGAGAGAAAATTTTACCTTGTGTAATGAAGCTGACTACAACTGAAGTGTTATTATAAGGGTTTTAAAATTAATCTTTAATATCAATGGTGTGCTTATATAAAGCTAATACTTGGTTTTCTTTTACCTGCTAAAAGATGCTTCTTTTCTAGTCATCTGCTGAGAAAGCAATGATTTTGTGTTTTATGGAAATACATTTTTTTTTTGGTGTGTTTTATGTTGTCTTAATCAGGTCTTTGTTTACTTAAGAAAACGGAATCTCCTCAATAGAAAGAGCTAAGTTTTGCGTACAATTATGTATTTGTTTTGAAAATCTTTGTTACTTTGGTAAAATGGGTAATTAAGCATTTTATAATGACATGATCCTAATTTAGTCAATTATCCAAACCTTTTGTTATATTTTGATAAATTTCCACAAAATTCAAATTATAAATAGAATCTTTTCTTGACCGAGAAATAACTTTGAGGAATTCCAGAGGGCCCCTGAAATATCTCAAAAGATTTGTTTTCTCTCCTTACAAAAGAGAAATTTAAAACTAATTAGGCTTGCTCTAGCTGGTTTTGCTCAGTGGATAGAGCATCGGGCTGTGGACTGAGGGTCCTGGGTTCAATAGCAGTGAAGGGCACATGCTTGGGTTGAGGGCTCTATTCCCAGTTGGGGGTGTGTGGGAGGCAGACAATCAATGATTCTTTCTTATCATTGATATTTCTATCTCTCTCTCCCTATCTCTTCCTCTCTGAAATCAATAAAAATATACTAAAAAAGAATTAGGCTTATTAGGTATGTTAAATTGCATGGGAAGAATTGTCAAATCACTGGAGGCTGTCCATGATGATAAACTTCTAGGGTATACAGGTTGGGGCAGAAGTACATTTACAGTTGCTCATATAGAAGCTAATACAATAATTAATCCTATTAATAAAAGGCAAATATGCAAATTGACCAAATGGCAGAACAACTGGTCCCTATGATGCTCACTGACCATCAGGGGGCAGATGCTCAATGCAGGAGCTGCCCCCTGGTGGTCAGTGTGCTCCCACAGAGGGAGCGCTGCTCAGCCAGAAGCCCTGAGCTGGGCTCACAGCTGGTGAGGGCAGCGGAGGAGGCGGAAGCCTCTCCCACCTCTGTGGCAGCACTAAGGATGTCCAAATGACAGCTTAGGCCTGCCCCCTGCCTAAGTGGTCAGTCAGATATCCCCCGAGGGCTCCCGGACTGTAAGAGGGCGCAGGCCCAGCTGAGGGACATACATTCCCCACCCCCCTCACCCTGCCCCAGTGCACAAATTCTGTGCACTGGGCCTCTAGTAAAGAATAACACAAGAATAAACTCTGTGTTTCTGGTACTCACAACTGTAAACCTACTTTTGCCCCACCCTGTATTGTATGGGTAAACAATGGCTGTAAATTAAATGAATAGCTTGGGCAATGGGAAATCCAAGATGGCCACTCGCATCTTCCCCACTCCATAGCAAACCCCATATTTAGGTTTTTGGGTTCCCTCATCCACCATAGTGCATTTAAGCTGGAATGCATTCAATGCCACTCAGTATGGGCTATCAATATGTTCTCATTGTTGCATGTATGTTTTCCAGATGGGTTGAAGCCTTCCCCTGCCACAAGGCTGATGCCCTCACAGTGACAAAGAAACTGTCAGAAAATGCATTTCCCACTGGGATATGCCTTCCCCAGTCTCTAGTGACTGAGGCACCCACTTCACGGAGGAACTCATATGAGCCTTGGTGGATAGCTCTGAGAACTTCTTGGGATTACCACATACCCTGCCACCTTCAGTTATCAGGCAAGTTCGAGAGAACTAATGGACACCTGGGTTTGAGGCAGTGGAGGGGAGTTTCCTCAGGTCCTGACCCTGGGAGCATCTTCCTGTTTGTCCTTCTGCACAGGGCTCCAGCTGGTAGGGTTATTGCTATTCCCCTTTCTTTTCTTCTCCATCAACTGCTTTAAACACTAAATGTTTTCTTCCAATTAATCTCTTTTCAGGCCTGCCAAACTAAGCTTGGAGACCATCGTTCCATAGCCAAAAACTCACTAATGTATTTCCTTACCCTAAAGGACATCTCTGCTCAGCATCTTCTAGCATCTTCGAGCATTGCAGTGCACCAGTAGAAACCCCGAACTTTTTATTTTTATAGTGGGCAGGGTTAAATTTGTTGGCAGACTTGCTGTTATGATTCCCTCCTTTGTACTCCTCCCCCAAAACCTTACACATCTTAGAAGGCAAAAATGACTTCAGTGAAGTTATTTTTTCTTCACTGAAAGGAAGTCTTTTCTCACGGGAAGAAAGAGTGTCCACGGGTGGAGAAAGAGACTTGCAAAGCCGCCCCTGGGGATCACATTGAAATGACTCTACAGGTTTGACTGCAAGTGTCTCTGGTTAACATGGCTGTCTTACCGGTAGATATTACCTGGAGGGTTTTCTAACTCAAGACTTCAGAAGAAAAAACAAAACAACACACACACACACACACACACACACACACACACACACACACACACACACACAATGGACATGGAGAGGTTGAAATGAACTTCTGACTCCTCTTCTTGCGTGAAAGCTTCACTGAACAGGACCCTGGAAACCAGGCCCCAGCTGGATTTCTCTTAGGTTCTGTTCCCGGTCAGCCAGTTCTGTCTGTGTGTCCTACCCGGATCGTGTCCTGCTGCATTCTGTGCTGTGTAGCTGCTTCCCTCTACTGGGCACTTATTCAATGGCAAGAAAGTCTCAGTCTCTCTACCGGCACCTGCTCCAATTGGGCAGGGAGACGAAGAGTGTTTTGCTCCAGTGCTCTCTGCAAAAGACTTGTTATTTATAAATTTGAAGATGATTTACCCCCTATTTATTCCTTTATTTTTTAAAAAACCCATAACATAGAAATACAACCTATTCACCCCTCCACGATTGCTTCGGAGTCAGCTGGGCAGAAGGTAAGGAAGATGTGAGCTAACAACATTTAACATGGGGTGGGGTGGTGGAACTCTTCAAAAAGCCATATGGAGAGAGTACTGGTAATAAACATTTGAAAAGGTCACAGTATTCGTCCAGTAAAACATTTAGGATTTATAAAGGCTTCTCAATGTTCGTGCAGAGGAGGAACATATTAAGGGTTCCTTTGTTCCTTGGGATTTTAACTTTCAGGAACTGTGACACGAAGTTCTTTTGTTTACCGACTGCTCCCCCTTCATGAGGCAGGGGAAATGGGCACTGCTGCATCTGCTCCCAGCCCTTGGTGCCCCTGGTGGGTGTTCTTATCAGTGGTTCTCAACCTTCCTAATGCCGCGACCCTTTAATAGAGTTCCTCATGTTGTGGTGACCCCCAACCATAAAATTATTTTTGTTGCTACTTCATAACTGTAATTTTGCTACTGTTATGAATCATAATGTAAATATCTGATATGCAGGATATATTTTCATTGTTACAAATTGAACATAATTAAAGCATAGTGAGTGGTTAATCACAAAAACAATATGTAATTATATGTGTTTTCCGATGGTCTTAGGCGATCCCTGTGAAAGAGTCGTTTGACCCCCAAAAGGGTTGTGACCCACAGGTTGAGAACCGCTGCTCTATATAGATATTGTTTCCCCGGGGCCACAGCCATGATGCCATCTTCGTTCTGGTTGTCAGTCCGACAAGAGCCACCTTGTTCTCTGTACGGGACCCTCATGAACACACAAAGTTCAGGTCTGTCTGCCAAATACACAGGTCACAGAGAGCTCCCACGGGTAGAGAGGGCCCTCGTGCTGTTGCCTCTGGTGTGGAGCCGCTTCAGTGCCTGTCACTTCCAGAGCAATGGTCAGGTGCTGCGCGTTAACTCACGCTGGAAGAGAAGACAGTGAGATGATACCCTTCACATGGTTGTGTCCACTTACAACAACCCACCTCCGGTCTCCCCTTACAAGACAGCTGTCTGCTGTGTTTACGCTCACTGTGATGCCCAGCCTTCCTTCTCTGTTCAAGCCACCTCGCAGGAAGCACTCACAGAGTGCAGAATCTGGAGGGGCAAGCCAGTGGAAGCCAACAGGCTCTGCACGGGTAGGCTGTCCAGGTGGGTGTCCAGGTTCCACCTCACCGCTCTGCAACCTCAGGCCACTCCAGCCTGTGGGGGAATCCAGAGGGCAGATGCCTTGACCTTGGGGGAGACCTAGGCCCAAAGAAGGCCTCAGGTACCTAGGAAATGGGACAGCTCAAAAAAGGGGTAGAAAGAGTCAAACACACAGGGCCTCCCTCACAATTTGTAATACAACTTCTTTGTCTAGGACTAGGTCATAAACCCATTTATGGGCATATGAACTGCCAAACAGGACAACCATGTCATGCACCAATTGTTTATGTTATTTCACCCTTCATTGTAAGGAAATATGGTACTTCCGATCTTAATTTTGAACTATTTGGTTAAAGTTTTGAGATGAGAGTTCTATTTCCCCCCATGCCAGGACAACAGGATGAATTCAGAGGGGAAAGGGGCAAAATACTTCTACAGGGGACTTGCAGTATCAACACTCTGCCACCAGAGGGAAGTGTAGACCAGTGTAGAACCCGGAGAGGGGCCTGGCTACAGAGAGAAGCAAACGTTAAAATGCAAATTTAAAATGAAGTTTCACTTGCTAAAATTAGAATAAAAAATAACCCGGTGAACACTGGCGAACACTGATCCTTACCGAAGGTTGTTGGATCCGGTTCCCTGAGGAACCCCTGCCATTAGTTTCCTGATTGGGGTGGCCTGTGAGGTAGGGGTTGAGGGGATGGACCTGCGGGAGGCTCTTGAAGGGTCTGGGGCAGTGGCTCTTTACTATCTGGGTCAAAAGCATGTTCATACTTCAACAATAGTATGGCTTTAGTAGAGAGAGCGTTCTACTTGAGGTCAACCCACGAGGTGGAGGGTGCTTTTGAGAAAGTGTCTGGGCTCTCAGCCAGCTGCCGGGGCCAGCAGCTGAATTCCCGTAACAGCTCTTGTGCAAGAAAGAGGAGGCAGTCCGGTTTTTTGTTGTTTTTTTTTTGTCCAGCGTTGACTGGCAAACCCCCTCTGCCTGACTTTTGTGTTACCCAACTGCTGCCTGGGCTTCAGTCAGTGGCCCAGCCCAGGTCCTGGAAGGGCCTGGGGCAGATTAGGTTTACATCCTTTGGGGAAGAGTGAGGAGTTAGAGGACAGGACGTCCTGCTCAGTTTGAATTTCCTCCCTTTTGTTTTCTGTCAAACTATTCAGTTTAAGAGCCAAACCAGGATGTGGCTGAATTTAGGGAGGGGAGGAGCAGAGGCCCGGAAGCCTGGCTTCAAGCTGACACCCAGTGCCTTTTGCCGCTGGGTCTTTGCACACAGTCGGAACCTACAGAGTAAGAAGTTCAGATGTGGCTCTGAAAAGTTTCTGATATTCTTCATGACACGCGTTATCTACAAGACCACATTCACACTAAGCTGAGAATTCCCCCCGCCCCTTTTTACTGTGTGTACTTATCTTTTGGATATGTAGTTAGAAGGGAAATTGCTAGGTCATATGGTAGTTCTGTTTAATTTTTTGAGGAGCTACCAAGCTGTTTTCCACAGTGGTTGTACCACTTTACATACCCACCAACAATGTCAGGATTCCAATTTCTCCACATCACCACCGATACTTGTTACTTTTTAAAAAGATGTTTTTATTGATTTAAAGAGAGAGGAAGGGAGAGGGAAGGAGAGAAACATCAATTCGCTGTTTTCTGCATACCCCCTCACTGGGGATCCAGCCCAGAAACCCCAGCATGTGCCCTGACATCTCAGTGCATGGGAACGGCACTCAACAAACTGAGCCACACCAGCCAGGGCGATACTTTTTCCTTTTTGTGTGTGGGTTTGTTTAAAAAACTAAAAAGTTTTTTATTGTAGCCATCCTATAGGAATGAAGTGATATTTCATTGTGGTTTTGATTTACATTTCCATCATGAGTAATGATGTTGAGCATCTTTTCATGTGCTTACTGGCTATTTGCATATCTTCTTTGGAAAAATGTTTCCTCAAATCCTTTGCCCATTTTTGAATAGAGTTGTTTGTTGTTACTGAGTTTTGGGAGTTGTTTGTAGACTCTGAATATTAATCCCCTATCAGATATGTGATTGCAAGTATTTTCTCCCATTATGTAAGTTGTCTTTTCACTTTCTTGAAAGTGTCTTTTGCTGTACAAAATTTTTAATTTTGATGACGTTCAGGTTATCTAATTTTTTTTTTGCTGTCTGTGCTTTTGGTGTCACATCCATGAAATCATTGCCAACTCTAGTGCCATGAAGATTTTCCCCAATGTTTTCTTCTAATGGTTTTATAGCTTTGCATCTTCATGTTAGGTCTGTGATCAATTTTGAGTTAATTTTTGTATATGGGGTAAGGTATGGGCCTAAATTTATTCTTTTGCATGTGGATATTCAGTTTTTTTCAGCATCATGTGTTGAAAATATTATCCTTTTTTCATGGAATGATCTTGGCACACTGGTTGAAAATCAATTGACTATATGCATGAAGGTTTATTGATGGTTTTTCTATTCTATTTCATTGATCCATATTTCTGTCTTTTTGCCAGTATATACTGTTTTAAATACTGTAGTTTTGTACCACATTTCAAAGTTGGAAAGTGTGAGTCTTCCAACTTTCTTCTTTTTTAAGATTGTTTTGGCTATTCAGGGTCCCTTGCAATTCCATAGGAATTTGAGGATCAGCTTTTCTATATTTGTGAAAAAGGCTGTTGGAACTTTGATAGGGATTGTGATGATTCTGTAGAGTGCTTTGAGTAGCAGTGACTTCTTAACATTGTATGTCTTCCAATCCATGAACATGGGATGTCTTTCTGTTCACTTAGGCCTTCTTTAATTTCTTTCAAGGATGTTTTGTAGTCTTCAGCATGCAGATCTTTCATGTCTTGGGTAGATTTACTCCCAAGTATTTACTTCTTTTAGATGCTATTGTAGATGGAATTGCTTTCTTTTTGTTATTTTTTCAATTGTTGAAGAATATCTCTGTGCTGGGGATCAGCTGGAGGAGAAAGCTTAAGTTCTTTTCCTATTTTTTTTGAGCCTGCATCTGTCTATGGGCATGTGCAATTGTTTTCTAAATTGCCTTGTGTATGTGGTTGATTTTGAATGTCTAATCTTACATGTCTGGCTTTCAAAAGGGGAGAAAGGGAAAAAATAAAAATATAACAAAACAAAGAAATCCAGGTGCAGCTCCTTTAAATCCCCAGAAAACCACCTCAGCCAGTGGGATTGCAATAGTGGCTGCCTATCTCTGTGCCTGCACCTCAGAGACGGAAAGCAGTGAGCAGCAATCAGAAAACAGAGCCCTGATGTTTGGGGGACTGGTTACTTATTGTCCACTCTGGCTCTAGCAAGCCATATCAGGAATTTGAACACAGCTGCCTGCCACTAGGCTAAGGGTGGGGGGTAGGTAACCAGTACAGCACTAAAGGCTGAAATTAGCCAAAATCAATCACACTTTACCAGTCACGCTTTCTCCTGCAAGTTAAAAGCATTTCAACAGAGTTCCAAAATTGTGACTTCAGACACTTTCTGCTAGTACAGCTGTTGCCTAAATGGAGAGACAGATTCCTGGTGTTTTCCATTTGGCCATTTCCCGTGACGTCCCCTCCCATTATTAAGCCTTGATATCTAACACCTCTTGATTTCCATTTGTCCTTTGAGCTTCGTGCTCTGGAACACCAATGGTGAATCAGTGTTGGACCTGTCTAGGGAGGTTTCATTTATAACGGGCACCTCCCTGAGCAAAGGCTATAGCTACATATCTCAGTTGGTTTTTGTGGGGACTCAAGGGGGGCCCACAATAACACCTTACATGTGCTTGATTTTAGAGCTGCTTACACTTAAGAGAGAGATAAGAAGTCAGGTAGTTGGAGATCATAATATCTGTCTTATTATTAATCAAAACGACAATGGAGGAAACCCACCCCGGCCAGGCAAGGCCAGCTCTCACAATGACTGTACCTGAAGCATCAGTCTAGAGGCCTACTCTGTACCCCAGGCTGGCTTCTCTTAGCTTGTGTTCCTTCTTCAGAAACATCTAAGAACTTACCTCTCATGGGGAGGAGGAGGGTGCAAGGGAGAAACCAGGAGTGTCACACTGATTGATGTCTTCTCGCCCCCTTCAGCTCCCAGGCAGAAAACATCAGGAACTGGGAATGAATGCTCCCACTCGAAGTTCTCAGGCACCTGTTCTTTGCTTCCAATTCTCATTCACAGGAGAAAATCTGTGAGCAGTGCTGCTGCCACCGACTCCTGTATTTGAATTCAGGCCCAGGAAGTCTTTTCCTCTGAATGATAAACTGCTGTCTCAGCTCACCCCTCAATACAGAATCCTGAACTGAAGCCATTTTTGGTGAAGCTTACAGAGACGACTACCTCAGTGGTGCTATCCCCAGTTGTGAATCTTTCTCTGCTTCGGAGGGTTTGAGGCCTTGAATAATCTACTCTGTTTCTGTGGGGTCAGAAGCGTCACATGTCAATCTTGTTATTACATACTTCCTTCAAGTTGATCCAGCAGAATTTTTCAGTTAGTTCTGCCTTTGTCTTCTACATGTGGGTCTGATGGGATCAGAGCATCTTTTTCTTTCCCCCTCTTCATGTCTTGATGACTAGACCAACACCGATCTCTTTTTATTTCTTCTAAAGCCTTTTTTCTTCACAAATGGAATTCTGAAGATTAAAAAAAATTGAAGTATAATTGACATACAACATTATATTTGTTTCAGGTCTACAACATAATACTTTGACATTTGTATACACTGTGAAATGATGACCACATAAGTCTTGAATCTTAACATTTAATTTTCTCATTCTATTTTTTCCCTTAGGATATTTTCAACAGTTCAGCACAAAGAGACAACTTCCCATGAAATTCTTTTGACTCACTTCAAGAAAAATAAGGTGGAGATAGCGAATGCAATAACAAAGCCATTTCCTTTCTTTGAGAGCCTCAGAGACCACTCCCTCATCACTGAAGAGCTCTATAATGTAAGAGAAGTGAATTATATCTCTCCATGGTACCCTAGCCTCACATTAATTTGTGTTTGGCATCCTAGATTAAAAATCTAGCCCTTTATAGTTTTCATGGGAAGACTCTACTAAATTAGTAAATCATCCTGTAAGGTTGAGGGTGACAGGGCAAGAAGATATCACTAACAATACTCCTATTCTAATTGAAGCCTTTCTCTCCTTTAAAAAAATGTATCTTTATTGTTGAAAGTATTACAGATGTCCCCCTTTTCCCCATTGATCTCCTCCATCCACCCAGACCTTTACCACACTATTATCTGTGCCCATGAAGCCCTTCTTGTCTGTGGGGCATGTTAGGGTATGTGTGTGGGGTGGAGGGTAATGCTGAAATGGTTGGATTGAAACTGATATGCTTTGCAGATGCATAGCAATTTACACAGTATAGCAAAATGAAATAAAATTAAAATAATTGAAAGAATTGGGACAGTATTTCATCATCATATCCACTTATTTCCAATGAAATCCACAGGGAATTTGTGCCATTATAAATCAAATTTTGGTCTTGTGGCTGTCTCCTCCAAAGTGTTTAAACTTTATTAGGTAGTTTGGGAATCATGGAATTCAATCAAATTTCATTAGTGGATCATCTTGGAGACAGAGAAGGAATTTAAGTCGTCACCATGTGATTGTGCGTTGTGCATCTCCCTGCATCCTAAAGTCTTATCAGGACTTCTCATACCTGCAGTTGCTGTGCAAAGATCCATTATTGAAACAGCCTAGGCAGGATGGAATTTTGAAAGTCAAGAGGAAGGCTCCATTTGTGATCTTAAGCAATTGATCAAATATACTAGAAGTTCTAAAATATGACATGGAAATTATAATCTACACTGAAAAAGTAGACTGAGTTCCTATGCAATGACTTCCTTGATGGTTGTTTAACTTTAAAACTATCACTTTATATATTTTTTTCCATTGCACTGTTTTAAAGGATTCTCAAGAAGCTTGTAAAGACTTGGTTCCTGTAGGAAGAGTGGTGTATCATATTCTCTGCCACCTTGAGAAGATGTTTGATTGGTCACTTCTACAAGCTCTGTTCAGCAGGGTTCATCTGAAGGAGTATCCTGATTTAATTCAGGTTCATAGAAGCTTCAAAAATGGTAATCAATTTTCTTCCCTCCCTTTTGGCGTCCAAGTCTACTTTACATTCATTCATTAACTCAGTCACTCATTTAACAAGTATTTATGAAATGTTTACCACATCTCAGGCCCTATGTTAGGCAGTATGAATGGAAGTAATGGTGAACAAAACTGCCATGTAAAATAACCTGCCAAGTGACTACTGTACTAGGGCTTAATTTGGGCTTAATAATGTCCTTTTTTCTTCTTCGGGAATAACTAGCTCTCTTAATGAGAAAATTCCTCTGTTTTTCTCTAAGGTTTGTACAGTTCACAGAGACATTCCACTTATAGAATTTATATTGAGAATGCTTTTACTCCTCTCTGATTATCTTGTTGGGTGATTAATTACTTTAGTAACTTTTCCAGTTTCACCACCATCCTTAAAACCCAAGACTCATCGCCATAGAATTTCAGTGTTGTTTCTCCCCACCCCGTTCATTGCCCCAGGGAAAGGGATAAGCAACACCAAGTCAGGAGCCATTGAGATTCACTGACCCAAGGGCCAGAAGTCCCCCCATTGAAAGACATGGATTCATGGGTCACCCAGACACGTAATTATGAGTTGGTGTCCCAATTACGTACCTGCAACCTGTAATTAATTTCTTTCCTTTGTTCAGTGATCCAAGACAAACATTTTTCCTGGGAAAGTGATAGAGAAGAGACACACGAAATGTCCAGCACTCAGCCAAGCTGTGAACGAGGTAATTATGAGAAGACACAAATTTGCTGTCTTTTGATTAAGAGGAAAAATAGATAAAGGAACCAAAAGGAGACGGTGGTGCTGGGGAAGGAATACCAGGAGAACATGGGGTGGTAGATGACTGTTACTTTGAGTTGATTCCAAAATGACCTGAGTCTGTGTGGAATCCAAGGGTATTAGCAAGAGGTGGCAGAGAGAGACTCTTTGCCCAGTAACCTGGAGGGTGGATTAAGATCCCAAGTGTAAATTATGAGTTTCCATAGGAAACCGTCACTGTGAAGCTGTGAAGGGCTAAGAACTATGGGCCCATAGTCAACATCAACTTTGAGGATGGAAGAAGGGACAAATTTAAATGTGGGGGATGTTATTTAAGAGCAGAAATATGCAAGAAGAAAGGATGTCATATAGAAAAAAGAGGAAGTGGTAGGGGTGTGGGGAAGGAGATGTGGGCACTGAAAGAGAGAGAGAGAGAGAGAGAGAGAGAGAGAGAGAGAGAGAGAGAAAGAGGGGAAATGAAAGACAGCAAGAAGGGATAAGAATAACATTATTAAGAGCTCATTTGATTGAACATCTATCTGGTAGTTGTGGGTTTAGTGCTCACACCTGCATTTAAAGGTTAGTATCACTTACGTGCCTATTATGCCCATAAGACAACTGAAATCTCAAGAGACCATGTACGTAATTGGCCTGGGTTCAAATAAGCAAGGATGAACCCAGGCATTCCGAAGCCAGAGCCTCTGTTCCTTTTTCCTTTTTAAATGGAGGTAAAAGTCACATAACATAAAATCAACCATTTAAAAGTGTGCAACATTGTGCAAGCATTACCTCTATCTAGTTCCAAAATAATGTGAGCCCCTCAAAAGGAAACCCCATATCCTTTAAGCTGTCACTTCCTATCGCCCTCTTTCCACTGCCAGAATACATTGATAAAACTAAAAAGTGCATCTTTTGTTTCTGTGGGTTAAGTGGGGAAATCACAGAGACAGAGAGAACAGGAAGGGAACCCGACATTAGGTGGGGAGGTGTAGGGGAAGAGAGCTGGGAAGGAAAATAGAGATATCAAGGACTGAGCTGGAGAGCATCTCCAGAAAGAAGAAGACAAAAACAGGGGACAGGAAAAGTCAGGGAGACAGAGGCCAGTGGCGGCCAGGATGCAGAAATACCTTCCTAGGTAGAAGCAGCAATGCCTGGAGATTGGACCCCGGTAGAAAATTGAAAAAGGGAGAGAAAGAGGTAGAAGGGGGTTTGGTTGGATTTGAGGTGGGATTCTTGGAGCGGCAGTATTTCTTTACAAGGGGCAGCTGACTTTAGTTTCAATCTCAGAGCTCAGGATGGTCACACCTTAGCCTTTTTCCTGGCCACTGGCTCTGGTCTCTCCTTTCCTTTGATCTCTCTTAAGTGCCTGGTAAATCCTAAGCTCCTGGAATAAAAAAGGAGAGAGAGTCAAAAGAGTTGCTCAGCTTACTGCTGAATGGTGGACAAGGTAACTGTGATTGATTCCTACATTTTAAATAACCAGTTACCTGGTTAAGTCATGTGGAGGGAGGAAGGGACACACACACACACGCACGCACGCACGCACGCGCGCCCAGTCTCTGGCTACTTTCTAAAGTGTGAGGGAAGCAAGCAGGCTGAGACATGTGAGAGGCTTAGGGCAAATTTTTTTTTAAGTTAAGGAGATTATTTTACTCAGACTATTGCAATAAGGACAACATTCATTAATGAGGACCATCTCAAAGAAAAAGAAGGAAGCCTGGGGTTTTATAGAGGAAGGTAAACAAGAGAGTCATCTTAGAGCCTTATGGGTGTTATGAGTCAGAATGGAGATGAAACTCTGAGGAGAGTGTTAGCTGATTTGTCATTTCTGAAACACCAAAGGGGGGGATTTCTTAACTATTACTGTAACAATCAGACTCCCTATTTCTTCAACATGAATATTGTTTGTCACTGAGCAACTCAGAGGTAAGCATAAGCCTCCCAAATGGGATGAAGCAGGGCCTAAGAAATAGTCTCTCCAGGATTCTTGCTGCTGTTGTTCCTATAAAACTAGTTGAGAGGTGGTGGTGAATGACATTTGTTTTAGGCTCCAAGAGATTAGACATCTTAAAAGAGGGATGCCTGAAATAGAGAAATAATAGTACAAATGTTGTTTTAAAGTCAAGAGCCAGGAGTTGAACCTTGACAATTAAACAGTCCAGTCCTGGCTAGTGTGGCTCAGTTGATTAGAATGTCGTCCTGTACACCAAAATGGGGGGGGGGGGGGGGTTGATTCCTGGTCATGGCACATAGCTAGGTTGCAGGTTCGACCCCCTAACTGTTGGGGTGCCGAGGGGAGGCAACTGATCGATATTTCTTTCTTACGTTGATGTTTCTCTCTTTCCCTGCCTCTCTCTAAAAATTAATGAAAAACATATCCTTGGGTGAGGATTAAAATAAAAAAAGAGAATTACCTAGCCAGTGGACACAGATATCAGCTTTAGAAAATTGTATAGCACCACTTCTTGAGTTCCTTGTTTTATGTTTATTTGTTTGTTTGTTGTGGTACCAAGTCTTCAAAACTCAGTGTTAGCGGGCGGCCGGAGTCGCGAGCACGAGCGGACGTCTGCGCGCGCGCGGGCGCAGGCGCCAGGTGACCCCGCCTCCCGCTCCGCCCCGCCCCGCCGGCGGTCCCTGCTCCTGTCGGCCTCCGGGCGCTGAGAATCCCGGCACCTGCGCGCGCTCTGCGGCCATGGAGGGACCCGCGCGCGCTCTGCGGCCATGGAGGGATCCGCGCGCGCTCTGCGGCCATGGAGGGACCCGGGAGCCTGTACAAGAAAGTCAAGCTGAGCAACAACGTGCAGAACTGGGGGATGCAGAGAGCAACTAATGTCACCTACCAAGCTCATCATGTCAGCAGGAACAAGAGAGGACAGGTGGTGGGGACCAGAGGTGGCTTTCGTGGTTGCACAGTTTGGCTCACAGGCTTATCTGGAGCAGGGAAGACCACCGTGAGCATGGCTTTGGAGGAATACTTGGTTTGCCATGGTATTCCATGCTATACTTTGGATGGTGACAACATTCGTCAAGGCCTCAATAAAAATCTTGGCTTTAGTCCTGAAGACAGAGAAGAGAATGTGCGACGCATTGCAGAAGTTGCTAAGCTGTTTGCAGATGCTGGCTTAGTATGCATCACAAGTTTCATATCGCCTTATACTCAGGATCGCAACAATGCGAGGCAGATTCATGAGGGTGCAAGTTTACCTTTCTTTGAAGTATTTGTCGATGCTCCTCTGCATGTTTGTGAACAGAGGGATGTCAAAGGGCTCTATAAGAAAGCACGGGCTGGAGAAATTAAAGGTTTCACTGGGATTGATTCTGAATATGAAAAGCCAGAGGCCCCTGAGTTGGTGCTGAAGACAGACTCCTGCGATGTGAATGGCTGTGTCCAGCAAGTTGTGGAGCTCCTGCAGGAGCGGGATATTGTACCTGTAGATGCCTCTTATGAAGTAAAAGAACTGTATGTGCCAGAAAATAAACTTCATTTGGCAAAAACAGATGCAGAAACACTACCAGCAATGGAAAATTAATAAAGTGGACATGCAGTGGGTTCAGGTTTTGGCAGAAGGTTGGGCCACCCCACTGAATGGCTTTATGTGAGAGAGGGAGTACCTGCAGTGTCTTCATTTTGATTGTCTTCTGGATGGGGGTGTCATTAACTTGTCAGTGCCTATAGTTCTGTCAGCGACTCATGAAGATAAAGAGAGGCTGGATGGCTGTACGGCATTTGCTCTGATGTATGAGGGCTGCCGTGTGGCTATTCTTCGCAATCCAGAGTTTTTTGAGCACAGGAAGGAGGAGCGTTGTGCCCGACAGTGGGGAACGACATGCAAGAACCACCCCTACATCAAGGTCCTGTACAGACTTTGCTGCATTTTATCTTGATTTATTACAAATAATGTTTGTGCTGAAAATGTGGGCATTACCTGTATATTGGTGATTCCACTGAAATTGTTAATGTTTTGCAGAAGCGAGACTGGATCTTAGATTAGTGTGATGAGCATATAGTCTTGTCACTTGGTCCAGATAAATATTTGTTCAGTAACTATTTAAGCATCTATGTACATGAGGCACCGAGCTAGATGCTGGTGCTGGACACGCAAGCACAGGCTGTACGCTCGGGCCTCCTAACTTTTGGTGGTGGAACAGACATTAATCATGTACTTACAGGTAGGATGGGAGGTCAGGATGGTTTTGTCTTGCCTGGGTTTTTAATTGAACATTGTGTTTCCGGAATGGAAGCAGTGAAATATAATTAGTCTCCCCAAAGTGCCTTGTGTACTTTATATGTGAAATATTATAATTGAAGTAAAACCTCTGTTACTAGTTATGTGTTTTAAAGTACATTTTGAGCATTAAAAAAAACTAAGTGAAATTGTAATAACTTAAAAAAAAACAAAAAAAAACAAAAAAAACCAAAAAAAACCCTCAGTGTCATTTATGTTTACAGAACCTCCTCAAATTCCTTGAAGTTAAGATCTCTATGCTCTTGGTGATTTGTGCATAGTCTTAGTTACCTCCCAACCAAGGTCATGGGTGACCCATTTTTTTGGACTTCCTTAGTGTCCATCAGCACTTGTCCAGGGAGAATTGCAACTTCATGCATGGTCTGCTGCAGTGCTGGTTCCTTCAAGGTCAATGCCAAATCACCAGGCTTCAGTTCACAGTGCTTCTTTGGACTGTGAGGGAAAGACCACCTGCAGAACAACCTGGAGTCTGGTAGGGATCTGAGCAGTCAAGTCTTTAGTTCTTGGTGATGCTGAGTCAGGCAAGTAGAAGAAAAATGTGCAACATTAGATTGGAGGATTGTAGTTGGATATTGAAGAAAACTGTAAGGCTGGAAACTTTGTAAGCTAGGTACAAGGCCCGTTCTCCCAATAAGGCTGGTACTTGTTTCCCATTGGCTCCATATAGTCAACCTTAGTTCCTAAAAATATAATGTCATTCTGATTAAATGAGCATTATTCTCAAATATGATATTCCAGGCAAAGCCTTGGGTTTGTAATCAATGTTTCCAATTACATCCTCCACTGCCTTCATGTTGAAACTGTCTTCTCAGGGTACATAATTTAAAAAGATATTCACTTGTACAACCTAAGAGTAAGTGCCTTGGCGTTAAGTTTGGCACTTTAGGTCCCTTCGTTGTTTCACCTTAGTCCTGACCCAGAGGCAAGACAGAAAAGAAAGCTGAATTCTTCAGTGGAGGAAGGTTCTCTGGGTAGAAAATGTGAGGAGAATAAATATAGAAGAGATAGATAGAGTGGGCCATGAATCATGAGAAATAGGAGTGAGCCCAGTTTTACCTAAAGGGACAGGAGATCCACAACTTTTCCAGGCTGGTGAAGGGTTGGCAGGGAGCTAATTTTATATGTAATTATCAGAAGTTGTCATAGGAACATGCAAATAATATGTGTGATTGTCAGATTGACAAGTAAGAGAGATGATTGTGGAAGACCTTTAGATGGAGAAGGTAGGGGGAAGGGACTCTGGTGGTACGGCCAAAGCCAAAAGAAGAGACTTGTAGTCATGGAGGGACAAGGACAGTACATAGGAAGACAACAATGGGAAGAGTAGAGACAGACAGAGTGTCAACATAAGCCTTTGAGAAACAGAGACAAAGGGGAGGAAGTGAAAGAAACAGAAGAGAGGAGCTAAACTGACAACTCCAAAGAGGGACAGTGACAGAAATTACATGGAGAGAGAAACAGTGGGGGCAAAGTAAATATCAAGAAAAGAGAAAGTGGGGGAGAGGCACAAAGAAATCATGAAGACAGAGTGTTAAGAGAGGGTGAATGAAAAAGTGAAGAGGGCAATGTGACGAAGGAGAGAGGAGACATTGAAATATTTAAAATTTGAGGGAGAGTCACTGGACAAGCTGCTGATACAGGAGGTTGTCCTCTTTAACAGTGAGTTTTCAGGGTAAAGTGTCCCCACTTTTCAAAGTGACATTTGTAATCTGTTCAGATTAAATAAACCTCCCTCCAAACCGCTATGTCTTCTGTCAACATGTATAGCCATGACACCCAATCCATATGGCCAGATGATCTGTCTTCTCAGCTTATTCATCTAAGAGCCTGAAGGACATCTCACTGGGATATCCTTCAGGAACCTCAGATTTAATGCTTCCAAAATGGATCTCATCACCTTCTTCCATGACACCAGATCCTCTTCTTCCTCTTCCTTTGCCACTCCCCCACCCTTTTTTTTTTGGTTAATTCTCATATGAGTATACTTTTCCATTTATCTTTTAGAGAGAGTGGAAGAGAGAGGGAAAGACAAAGAGAAACATTAATGTGAGATAAACACATCAATTGGTTGACTCCTGCATGCTGGGACCAAGGCCAAGGCTGAGGAAGAACCTGCAACCAAGATACGTGGCCTTGACTGGAATCAAACCTGGGACCCTTTGATCCGCAGGCTGAGGCTCTATCCACTGAGTCAAACCAGCTAGGACCACTTCCCTTTTTAGTAAAAGTGTCATTCCTGTCCAGTTTTCTTAAGCAGGAAACTCAGGAGGACTCCTCCCAAGTCCTCCTCTCCCTTAACCCTCATACCCCATCAGTCACCCAGCCCTGAGACTTGACCTTGGCAGTATTTTCAAACTGACCATTTCTCCATTGTAAATGCCATGATGCTAATCCGATCTCTGAAAACTTTCCTTTGACCATCAGTTGAAGGTGACGGAAGTGTGGATGTGTTCATGCCGTTGTCCTATCTAAACTCCAGTGACAGTCAGGACATTTGAGATTAAATCACTCTCCTTCCTGAAGCTTCCAAAGCCACAGGCCATAGGCTTCTCTCCTGTTTCTTTAGCCTCTGTTCTCTCACTCCAAGTCTTAGTCATGCTGACTTCCTTTATTTACTTGAATTGCTTTTGGCCATGCTCTGTTCTCTATTTAGGTCTAATTCCCTTCTCACTCCCTCCCTAAACTGGCAACCTCCTGGTTATATGACACTTTCTTCGAAAGCCATTTTCTGTTTCTAGGATGGGATTCATTCCTCTGTCTGTATGTTCTCAGAGCACTTTGTACTGGCTGTGGGATGACACTCACACTTCATCGTGATAATGCAGTAAGTTTGTGGCATCCATTGTAGACTGTGATTTTGAGCCAGGGACCTCATCTGTCTTGTACTTGCTGTGTCCCTGACCTGAGCATGGTGACTGGCACATAATAAGAGCTCAATTAAGTCCAGCCAGTGTGGCCCAGTGTTATGTCTTTTTTTAGAAATATATTTTATTGATTTTTTACAGAGAGGAAGAGAGAGGGATAGAGAGTTAGAAACATCCCTGAGAGAGAAACATTAATCAGCTGCCTCCTGCACACCCTCTACTGGGGATGTGCCTGCAACCTAGGTACATGCCCTTGACCGGAATTGAACCTGGGACCCTTCAGTCTGCAGGCTGACTCTCTATCCACTGGGCCAAACCCATTAAGGCAGTGTTATGTCTTGACCTATGAACCAGGAGGTCATGGTTCAATTCCCATTAGAGCACATGCCCGGGTTGCAGGCTCAATCCCCAGTAGGAGGTGTGCAGGAGACTGCCAATCAATGGTTCTCTCTCATCATTGATGTTTCTATCTCTTTCTCTCCCTCTCCCTTCCTCTCTTAAATCAATACAGATAATTTTTTAAAAAAATGCTCAATTAACATTTTTCAGGAAAGGAAAGTCCTTATTTCTGTGCTCTAAAGGGGATCATATGTTTTGGCAAACATTACATTACTGATATATTTATAGAAAACTTACAAAATAGTTCTCAAAATTACATTTATATATGTGTGTAATAAGTTGCCTTTGTGGAAAAGAGCCTAACTTATGAAAAAACACAAATTCAGCCAAGATTATTATCAGTTAGTGAGTGAGAATAGCAGGTAAAGGGAAAAGAGAAAACCCAAAAGGTAGATTCAAGGTAAAAAGAAAAGCACCTGAGAAATGGAGAGAGAAAGACACAAATACAGAGGTAGGAAGTAGGTGAGAAGGTGAGATTCCTCATGAGAGTGAGCCTCTCAAGGGACATGGGGAGAGAGGGAAGACAAGGAGCCACAAGGCTCTTTGAGGGGGAGTCTTCCTCCTGAATCCTTACTTATTTTAGGGGCAGAGCTATCCACACATGAAAGTCTAGTTCAATCTTGTGCTGTGGGTCTGATGGATATGCAGAAGACAATTTCATCTTGTCCCCCCGAGATGAACGAAGGAGGCCAGCAAGCAAGGCCAGCACGTGACCAAGCACCTGAAATAATTGGTAAGGCTGGCTAAGGGAGTCTGGCATGTGATGGCACTTTGTATGTCACAGCAGAGGTGACAGGAGGTGGCCGAGGGAGCGCGGGGGTGGAGTGGGGTGAGGTGGTGGTGGTGCAAGAGAGGGAGACTCTGGTGCTTAGTGCAGGGAGCTTCTACCAGTGAGAGGATTCCCTGGGATGACAGACCATCTGGTGCAGGGACATTCCTATCTAGAAATTCTGCAAGCTGCTGGGTCTTTCCTGGAGTCCCTTTATTATGGGGTTTTCTGCTCCCTCATGGGCCCCACATTGAGACTCCTTAGGGGTTTTGTTCTTTTGCGCAGTGATCAGCAGTGAATCCAATGGGCAGGAAGTGCCTCCGGAAGCCCAGATATCAGCACCAAGATGTGGACCTGGTGAGGAGTGTGAGGATGGCCAGCCTCAGCCTGCAGAGCACCTGGCATCTGAATTCAGAGCTCCTGTTTCTTGACGTGTTTTACTTTAAAAAAATATAGTTTTTTTAAGTTGATTTCAGAGAGAAGAAGAGAGAGAGTATCATCAGTGAGAGAGAAACATCAATTGGCTGCCTCCTGCACATCCCCCACTGGAAATTGAGCCTATAATCCAGGCATGTGCTCTGACTGGGAATTGAACCAGCGACCTCCTGGTGCGTGGATCGACCCTCAACCACCTGAGCCACACCAGCTGGGCTTGGTACATTTCACTTTGAGTGCACTCCACAGACCATGGTTCACTTAATCCTGGGAACCCATTCTTGGGAAATGTGGGAGGCAAGGCTCTATTTATTGTACATGTGTTCATATGTTGACATCAGAATAGAAACAAGATAGCATGCCTATAATAAAAAATATGTATTTGGCCTTTGTCTCTAGTTCCTGGCACAAAGGTCCCCCAAACCCAAAGTTCACTCCTGCAAGTGTTCTCTGTTGTTTTCAGTACCAAATAAGTCAGGACTTGTTAGCTTGTGTGGTGATCATAAACAATTTTCAGTTCCACTGGCTTACACAAATAAGTTCACTTCTTGCTTACTCAAAGCCCACGGTGCATCTGGGAGCCCCTCTGAGGTGGTAGTAAGTACATGTACTAGGCTGTTTCAGTCTTTGGGCTCTGTCCTCTCAAAACCAGGCTTCCATAATCAACGTGGTAGGAGAGAGGGTGCATGGAGAATTCTCACTGCTCTCCTATGAATTAGTTTGCAAATGACACATGCCACCTCTGATCATAGCCCATTGGTAAGTGTATTAGTCAGTCCTAATGCAAGGAAATGGAAAAATTTGGAGGATATATGCAATATTTGGTGAACACTACTATCTCTGCTACAGATGATAAATGATAGACTGGAAAAACCACCAATTCTAGATAATAATGATGCATCACTGAATCCCCCTAACACAATAAAGCACACAAAAAGAAGTTAAAAGGGGGGAAAAACCCCAGTCAGAATTTAGACTGTAAACCTATGTGAAAAATATAACTTTTTTGGGAGCTAAAGTATTGAAAATAGAATATGCTGCAAGAAAGAGATTCAAGGATAAAATATTTTGCCTGGTGTGTGATGGAATATATCCATTTTTCTAAATAACTGTACTCCCAGAAAGAAAGTTTATTCTCTGGCAGGAACTCTGAACATTTTACTTATTTAGGTGACTTCCTTTTACAGTTATGACATCAGTAAAGGGAGACAGAGCTGTAGACACGTTTATTTTTGAATCATCCCTAAATTATTCCATCAATTGTAATAAGAAATGTTTTTTGATTAAATCGACCCTGAGATAGAAATTGCATTTAACACCTAACCTGTTTTGCTAGGTCATTATGGCATTTCAGGCCTCTAGAATTAGCTGAGGATTCTCGTTCAATAATCCTTTAAGGATATGGGTATTTCCTTTTTCCATTAACTTGGAAAATAGACATTGGTCTCTTTGGGAAGGGCTAGGAAACGTGTCAACCTTGGTTTTTATGGCCTCCATTTGTTTCTGTTTCCATCAACTAGCTGAACTGACAATGAGAACTGCTGCCTTTTGCTTGAGTTAACATGTTGAATACAGAATCCCTACTGTGTGTAGTCACGATGACACATTCATGTGTTTCAGACATGATTTTGAACATTTGACATTTATAAATTCATTTAATCTTCAACATTTTCTATTCCAATAACAAAATCTTATTATTGAATGGTGACATGGTGCATTGGAGCCAGCTGGAGACAATAATTCCGGAGGCTGAGGTACTTTTCTGAATGGTATAATGCAGTGGTTCTCAACCTTCTGGCCCTTTAAATACAGTTCCTCATGTTGTGACCCAACCATAAAATTATTTTCGTTGCTACTTTATAACTGTAATGTTACTACTGTTATGAGTCATAATGTAAATACCTGATATGCAAGATGGTCTTAGGTGACCCCTGTGAAAGGGTCATTCAACCCCCAAAGGGGTTGCGACCCACAGGTTGAGAACCGCTGGTATAGTGTATACTCTGAACCAGCTATCAATATGTGGTATTCTTTTTCCTATAACTGGAATATTTTGGGTCTGAGAACCTGTCAAGCAAAGCTAAAAGATTTGACTGGTAAAGAAATGATGAGTGCACTTTACTATTCAGACAGTTTGATACTTACATAGACAACAAAAGCAAAAAAAGCAAAGGTACCAGCTTCCCATGTCCTCTGTACCATAGGATGATATCCAAACAAAGGGATTGTGGATGCCTTATGGTGTGACATGAGTGGTGGTCCACATTCATGTTGCAGCCAGCAGTTGAATAGCCTCCAGCTTTGCCCTAAATAAAGAATCAGAAGGCTTCAGACCTCATCAGAACTTGGAATGAAAGGAGAGTGAGTCATGATAGCCTCTGGAAGATAAGGCGATGAATGGAAAATGGCTTTGTAGCAGCTCCTCACAAGTCTCCCATGCTCTCATGTTTTGGAAAAATCACCGGGCATTCTTCCAAGGCCTAAATCAGATCAGTTGCATTTAAGTCTTGCCTATGTGTGCCGTGTGGAGACATGCAAGGTCACCAGGATGTCATGGCAGAGCCATTCCCCAACAGAACCAAGAACTGTCAGAGGTTTTAGTGCATGAGGAATGCTTTTATCAGCTGTACCAATTAGGATTCTGACCCTATGAATTAAATGTTGAGAATAGTATGCTATGCTATGTGCTTCCTGATGCCATGGGGTAAAAGGCAACAAAGTACGCAGAATGGTGATCAGTAACCAAACTACATAAATAACACTGGCTTTACCAAAATATATAAATAACAGTAGTTTTCTATAACAGGCAACAATAAGTAAGAAATTATAATAGGAAAAAGGTCACTTTCATAATAACAAGAAATAGTATAAAATACCTGACAGTAAAAAGAAAAAGTAAGAAATGAATAAGCTCTATGTGGGGAGGAGGAGAGGAGAGAAAACTTTACTAACAACATAATAATTTAAATAAATGGAAGCACATATGATTCTTTATAGAAAGACTCAATATTTTTATTGTAAATTTCACTCCAATTTATTTAATAAGAGATCTGGACAAAGCAATTTTACATTTTCTATTTAGAAAAACAAATGAGCTGAAATAACGACAAAATAAGTTTGAAAAAAGAAGTGTGATGTGATTGTTTTTACATATCATTAGGCAGAATGGTCAGCGGGACCACGGGCACTTGACCATGTACTGCTGGAGTCTCTGAAGGGGGAAACAGAAATGGACAAAAATCACAAAGTAATGGGCTCGGACTGAGAACTGTTCTTGCTGATTTACTGAATTCCAAAAATGTCTTTGAAGTTTTTCTCAAATTCGGCCTCTATTTGAATTCCCAGCATGATGAATTTCTGGCCCTGAAAAAACAAAGAGAAAAACAGTATTAGCCATTTCCAATTACCCAAAGTTTCAGGTAATCAAGATCTTCATTTTAGGCCAGCCCCAAATGTTAAGTGAGACTTCATCCAGTTAGGAATAGCTAATGTTCCCTGATAGCTTGATCATTTCTCTTTATCTGGAAGACAGAGAAGCAAAAATAGTACTATCTTGCAGCCTAATTCTTCACCAAAAATTGATTGATTTAATTTGACAAAATAGAAGTTATTTGAGTTTTGAGCACAGCACATATTATTTGCAACAATATAGTAGTATGGAAATGTCTACAGTAAATTCATTGTGCCTTTCTCTCCCTTCATTCTCACACCTTGAGGCAATCCTTGTTAATGTGTGTGCGTGTGCGTGTGTGTGTGTGTGTGTGTGTGTGTGTGTGTGTGTGTGTTAATCCTCACCCAAGGCTATTTTTCCACTGGAGGATATTTTTCCGTTGATCTTTGTTGTTGTTGGTTTTTGGGAGATTGGAAGCGAGAGGGAAAGACAGAGAAACATAGATGTGAGAGAAACACATTGATTGGTTGCCTCCTTCACAAGCCCTGACCAGAGCCTGGGCCTGCAACCGAGGTACTTGCTCTTGACTGGAATTGAACCTTGGACCTGTTGGTCCACAGGCTGACGCTGTATTCACTGAGCCAAACCGGCTAGGCCACAGTTGCCGGGAGCCGGTCCATGCTTGCTGTTTCAAGGGACCTGGCATATATGGCATACTGTTCTTAATATGTTTGCTCACCTTCTTGGCACTATGTGTTTTAACCAAGGTCTCTGAGAAAGGTTGTTTCCCCAGGTAGGGATTTTCCCCTGAAGTTAGGGAGGGAATAAAACCTCTTAACTAGTGCCAGGTGGGTAATTAATCACTTTAACTACGAACAATCATGCTTAAGCTACATAATCTTTACTCCCTGGAATGAAGATAAGAAACGCCCTAACCTTTGTAATAGAGATTGAAAGGATTGAATCAACTGGTATAAATACAGATGTAATAAGACAGCAAGACACAGAACTTAGAATACGGAACCAAGAGACAGAGAACCTAGGCACAGAACCTACACAGAACGTTCTCTAGAGACAGAAGAACTTCGCTGGAGAGAACATGGCAAAAGATCCTGGACAGAAACTGGCCTCAGAACCTAGAGACAGAACCTAGCGAGAGAACATGGCAAAAGATCCTGGACTGAACCTGACTACGGAAATTGGCAAGAGAACCTGACTAGAACCTGGTAACTGAACCTGGCTGGAGAACCTGGACAGAACCTGGCTGGAGAACCTAGCGAGGGAACATGGCTACAGAACCTGACTGGAGAACCTGGAGAACCTAGCAAGAGAACATGGACACAGAACCTGGCTGGAGATCCTAAGCAGAACCTCTCTGGAGATCCAGACCAGAACTTGGCTGGAGATCCTGGCTGGAGATCCTGGCTAGGCTGCTGATCAACTGAACGCTGTCCCCGTGTCATTCCTTCTTCGCCGACTCCGTCCACACCTTTGGGGACCCCTGGACCCGCTGGGGTTGGACCCCAGCACACAGTGGTCGGCAAACTCATTAGTCACCAGAGCCAAATATCAACAGTACAACGATTGAAATTTCTTTTGAGAGCC